ATTGAGGCACGATGTTTTAGTTAGTTTTTTTTGCAAGAGTTTTAGTTAGTTTGACATACTACTTTTGTTTTGGTAATATGCATCCTGTCGAGTTAAGGGTTGTCTGAATAAACTAAAATTATATCACTCAAAGCTTTTGATGTGCTACATCAATTTTAACATTAATCTATATTTTCGAAAAACTAATGGATGGGGTGAAAATGGTAATTTTATCAAGTAGCAACCATGGCATAACAACTCTGTCTTACAATTTGTGCAATTGTCCTTTCAAATTGTATTTGATAGACTGATAATTCCAGCTCTGATTTCCAACATGCACTCACTCAGCTACATGCTTGTTCTATATTTTCACAAAATTTAGATTTTTATTCAGAGTACATAACTGAACTCTTAACTTGTTAGGCCTTGCGTTATGGAGAAGAGGCATTCTGAGGCTAGCCATATCAGGGAGAAGTACTTCAATAGATATCTTACAGTGATGTCTTCTATACTTGCATTACATCCAGAAGTAGATATCTTGCAATTACAATTAATGAGGTTTTATGTGAGAAATTAGACTAACATTATTTCTTTTTTTGCAAACAATGGCTGAACGATAAGAAGCTGGAACTAATAGTAAATTAGTAATACTAGGAATAGTATTATTTGTTTTGGCCTCGCTGCATAAGTCTTCAAATAGTAGAAACTGTAATTCGTAAGAGAGAAACACAAGCTCCCTAGAAGGCCATTTTGATCAGCACCTTTATATAGACAAGTCACAAGTGCATGCTTTCAATCATATTTGGTCCAACAGTTCAGAATGGGTGGCTTTTGAAGTGATACACACAGTGCTTGCCTAGATTATTTTTCTGCTAGTAGAACTACATAGGCGACTAGCAGTATTAGTAATTCAAGGTTTTTGAAGTGATATTGCGATGGTCGTATTGTAGGCTGATTAATCAGGCAACTTAAAAAAAAAAGCTAGACTTGTAAGATATAAAACAGAGTAAATTAATAAGATTGCAAACATAGCTTAGATTGCATCCTTATTTGCATATGCTTGCATCTGGTATGGATCCATTAATATATTGACCTGAGGTGTGTACATACATGCATGTAGAAAAATCAGGGTATTGCCAACTAGTGTGGTTTAATACTAGTAGTTCTTTTTGAATATTCTTCCCCTGTTTTACATGGCATCTCAGTGTATAGTTAACATATATGTCTCTTCATTATTTTCATGCAATCATTCATCTATTTGTGAATCTAATCAGTAATGATTCCTGTATTAGATCTTGAATTGTGAAAATTCTTTTGAGCTTAGAATAAAATAGAGGTGTACATCATGTACTAGAGCTAATAGTTTTATCAGCGTTATTTATCCTATTTTCTCTCTCTTTGTTTTTTTTTGTGCAGATCCCAAGCACTCGCCCACTCGCCATCAAAGCATCCTCCATCTACTCCCCATGATTACTCACATAGGTAGTTTCTTCTACTATTACTGATTTGTTTGTGTGGCTAATTATGCTTGAAGATTTACAAGAGTATAAATTTTGCATTTGTTTCCATTAGAAATTAGCTTATTTTTTCAGCCTTGCTAATTTTCCAATTTTACACATTTAATTTATGGCTGCTGTAGCTTCCAAATCATTAACACTAGTTATGGCTGTTTTTTATCATTTTAGTTAGCCTTCCACCAGTAGGAGACGTCAGCTTCTTCTACACTCCAGCAACAGTGCGTGCCGCTAGCACGAAATAGGTATGCTGGAGACACTTGTTTGGACTGATCACTGTCCCCAGTCATAAATGTGGCATTGATTTTATGATTTATCTAGATCTATATATGCACTTGTTGATATTACATATTTACTGCAAACGAAGTTATGCTATCACCATACTTTGTTTGCTCATAAAAATATGTTACTGCTTCTCATATACACTTCTGATATTTAGTTATTTACCATCTTTTGTTGATTGATATGTGTCACCTGTAAAAACAAGCATGCTGAAATTACTGGGACATGTTGCAGTTGCAGATATGAGAAGATTATTTGAGATAGCATGTGTGACACGCATTTAAGATATACTCAACTGAAAGAGACGTTTTGCATATAATATTTTTCTCTATGAAAAGATAAGACTCTCCATGGATGACATGCATTTTTACCATATTCATCTGAAAGAAACAATTATTATAAGTATTTGTAATTTTCAGCTAGCTAAACAATCTTAAACAAAAATATATTAGGTGGAGATTGTTGTACTGAACTAATTGTATTATTACTTGTGATGATTTTGATCATGCAGGATGCATTCAGGGTTGTCTAACCAGCTTTCAAAAGGGTGGTTCATGCTTTGCTTCTGCTTCTGCTCCCTATGCAATGCTACTGCTGCAGCATAACCGATAATAGCGCTTGCAGCTGTATATTCCTTGTACATGGGCATGACCGCATGATACAACATACAACCATCAGTCAAGTAGTCAGTAGAATTGTATTAAATTTACAAATTTCCATGTTACTTTGGTAACAGATAATGTTTGCAAGACTAGGAGTTTTTTTAACGACACCATTTGTCACGAAATTACTTTTATGCATCCTAGACAAGAATAAAAAAATGCTGCACATTCTTTCATTTGCCAATTTTATTGTTCTTGATACAAACATACTTATAACAATTTTATAGTTAACCATAAAAGTCACTGTTTTTGTTGGGATACGAGGATTAATAATTTAAAGCATAGCACAAACTGAATAGATAGTATGGCCGCGAGCCCTGCTAACTGACGCATTGCACATGAAAAAAAAGTTCGCTTGTCTACTCTCCATGCAAAAGAAAGGAAAAAAACGTTGCTTCTCTACTCTGTCCACGCAAAAGAAAGAAACAGAAACTCAGTCAAAGCAAAAAAAAAAGGAAAAAAGAAACTCAGCCAACGAAAAAAAAAAAACAGAAATTCAGTTAACGAAAAAAAAGAAAACCGGCACAGCAAACACCCATACGGAGGAAAAAAAACCTACGCCTACGGTCGATGTCTGTCAGCGGGGCGTTGGTGGGACTGAGTATGGAATAACTATTCAGTACTCGGGTATATATATATATATATATATATATATATATATATATATATATATAAAGTTTTAGATTTCTATGAAGTCATGCACTACCTTATATTGTCTAGCTTGGGATCATTTGAATTTTATACGATTTGATTTTTTGGTGTTTATTAGTCAGTAGAGATGCTCTCATTATCTGTCTACGTCTATAGCACTTTTCCGCAAACCTTATCGTGTACTCCCTCCGGTTCTATAAAGCAAGTCGTTTTGGACATCGACACGGTCTTTAAGAAACGACTTTGACCGCTACTTTTTGCTATAAAATATTTATAAAATATAGTCAATATATATTTTTATGAAACTATATTTCGAGATGAATCTACTTACATCACTTTCATATATTCAAACTCAACCCAAAAGAAGTTATTTGTAGTCAAAGTTTAAAATATTTGACTTAAGACAACCTCAAAACGACTTGATTTAGAGAACCGGAGGGAGTACTACGAGTATATATCTTTTTTCATCTAGCACGACATAGAGAGAACATAGTGACTCGCCATGTTCGCTTGAGCTTATTCAGACTACCTTTTAGTTTTGGAACAGTGTTTTTCTCTCAAAATATTTTAGCATAAGCATCAGCATAAGTCAAATTTCAGCATCAGTGAACAGGGTGAGTATTCATTTAGGAGGAGTAATAGCTTAGCAAACGTTTTCAGGTCGAGAGGACTGCTTGTGTGTGTGTGTGTTTTAGATTGACTGCTTGTGTTGTACTGCACATGGGTTGGAGTGAAAAGAAAAAAGTTCTCATTCTGCTGCTCGAGGCATTGTGTTTGCCGGGCCAGAGCCCGACCAACGGACCGAGGCAGTGGAAAAGATGGCCCGCGGTCCGCGCCGCTCTATTGCATCGCACCATTCGCAGTTTCGCACCGCACGTGCGCGACGTGCCCGCCGCGGAAAGATCTGGCCTCCAATCCCATCTTTCTATATGAATCCTGCGCCCAAACCGCGGCCAGCCAGCGTGCCACGTCACCTGCTTTTCGTGGCCGTTGGATCGGGCGCGAAGACGGCCCAGATTGGGCGAGCCGTGGTCTTTTTTCAAAAAAACCCTCGAACTTTAGTCGAATCAACCCGCAGTCCAGGCCTCCTCTCATATTTTTTTTCCAAAAAACCATCGAACTTTACCAAAATTTGGCCTCTCACCTCCATCTCGCCCTCCCCTTCCTCTCTCTCTCTCTCTCCTTCCCTCCTGATGCGGCGGCGGGTGCGCCCCACGCTCCGCGCCGCAGCGGCCCGTCTTCCGCCGCCGCCCAAGCCTGTCCTCCTCGCCGCGTCCTCGCAGCCGCCGTCCCCAACTCCGCGCCATCTGGAGTGGCGCCGCCCCGGCGCCCTCCGCCGTCCCCGGCTCCACGCCGCGTCCTCGCGTCCACCCGCCGTCCCCCGCTCCACGCCGTCGACAGCGACACCGCCACGGTCACCTCTGCCGTCCCCGCCCCCACGCAGCGTCCTCGCGTCCACGCATGCCGTACCGTGGCTGCACTCGCCTGCACGCTGCTGCTATCATCACCGGAGAAGCTAGATGTACCTCCCCTCGATGCTACTGCTGACCTCGTAGGAGAAGGCAGATGTAGCCCACTGGTGTATGCCTCCTCCACTCGATCTCCGGTTCCTCCGATTCCGTTGCCGTGCCGCCCACCGGAGCTTCACCTCCGCCTCTTTTCTTATTTTTGTTTAGCTTTTAATCCCCAGTGGGCAGGTACCTCTGGCCGCAGATCCATTTTCCCACGCGATTACCATCGCTGGCGGCCATCAACATGCTGTCCGTTCAAGAGACACGACTCCTGGTATGCTTCCTCTCCTGTTCTTGGTGGCCGCTGCATGTAATGTGCTCAACAGAATGTCAAATTCACGGTATGATGTTCACTACCTTTTAGCTGCAGGTTCGTGGATGTTTTAATTGCAGGTCCATGAATGGCCACGACCTGCATATGTATCATCAAGGTATGGATAAATCAGGATATTTTCGATGCGTACTTTACAATTGAACTCAGTCGCTGCTGCTGGTGAAACGCACACACAAGGAGTAGTGATCAGATTTATCACTACACCTAAGCATATTTAAAATTCTTTCGTGTTCGTGCCTGCAGCTTGCGAGAGTTCCATTCCCCTTCAATCTGAGCAACCCGCCGATTTTAGGCGCACCAGGCGGAGACTGTTTGCAGCTTCCAGGACCGAAAACGGAGAGTTTTCATGCTTTCACTGTAGAAAATAAATGGATATTTCCCTTTTGCTCCTATGAGTTTCTTTGTGTTCAACCAATGCTGACGAACGCTTCTTCTCCTGCTACAGCTGACAAGAAGCATGATGAAGCCTCTGTTCCAAGAAGGTATATTGTTCGGTTCCAGCAGGATAAGTACACAGCTTTCCAACATCTTATGGAGTATTGCTTTAATTCTATGGATTTGTGGAAAAAATGTTGCTTACTGACTTTCAAGCTTCAATGTCTCTAGCATTCTGTAGTGCTATGTGTTGTTTACTCAATTCCCCTTTACATTGACTTGATTGAAAGAATCTGATTGAAAGAATCTGCTAATATCTATTGATACTAATTCATAGTTCTCCTAAAAATGAAATGATAATGGAGCCCAAGAATTTGTCTGTATTTGGGGTGTAAAATTCTAGAAAAGGTCCGACCAAGTGTTTTTTTTCTCTCCCAAAACTCACCCTGCATAAAGTTCTCATACATGTTACTTTTTCCATCTAGATTCATCACTACATGGGTAAAGGTCGTGACATTGTTCTGAGAGTGGACATTCAAAGAGCAGCAACTAAAAGACAGGTACTTGGAATCTGCAGTTCTCATATTATGCTGATAGGTCTGCCCTCCATCATGTTCAGCTCAAATCTTACTTGTTCTCTAAAAATACAGCCTCTTGATCCATGTTGCCTTCATTATCTAGAATCACCGTTCTACCTGCTCAGTCCGCTGGTACCATTATCACCATGCCATTTTTGCTATTTCTCTTCAGGACTATATTACCCTACATATCCATGTCCTACATGTCATGAGGCCTTTCGAGTTTGCAATATGCTAATCTATATCACTAATTGTTCTATACTGCCTATGTTCATTCTTATCTACTTTCTAACCATTGCATGGTTGCTAATGCAGCCACTCTGCTCCCCCATCCTCCTCGACGTCGCCCCGCAATGCCGTGGCTCACTATCTTACTAATTTGTGCACAGATTGCAGGAACTGATTCTACATTGGTGATTGGCTGAGATTTCAAAAAGTTACTTTCTTCTACATTAGAGGAACCAGGCAGGTCCTGTGTTGTTTTAATTTAGATATTCTGTACTGTCATACTTTGCATCATGTTGTTATCACTTTTTAACTAATTAACATTGCAATTTTGATGGATCTTTAATCTCAGGTTCAGATATCAATCGAGACAAGCTGATCTGTAGCAAGAAACAGATGAGTATTGATGCCAACAAATATTTCCAACTGAAAATTGAATTAGCAGTTTTCATGCTAATTTGTGCATGTCATAAATGAGACAAGACGACCTACAGTGAGAAACAAGTGAGCATTTATGCCACCAAATACATACAACTCAAATTCGATTAAACTTCTCATGTTTATTTCAGACTATGAAAGATTCTCAAGTTACAAATAATAAAAAAATTATGTACATTTTATTTTGCCTTATTAGTCTTAGTACATCAAACACTTGTACCCACACTGCAATTAGTATATGATGATGTATACTTTATCATACATAGAAAGGATCAACTTGTTTTGATTGCAGCAAAGCATTCTGTTCAATCAAACATACTTTTCAATTTTCATACTAAAAACATATATTTTCTCCAACTATATTTTTATTATCAAACATTGTTCATACTATTGTTTGATCTAGAGGTTTCAAACTGCTCCTTATTTGATTTGTTCAGATATTGTGAGCAGGATGTTGGTAGCTTACTTGGAATCTTTATCCAGGAATCTTCCTACGTATAGAGACATATATGCAAAATGCACATATCATTAGCTTTGCTGCTGTCATTGAAAATCAAAAGGAACAACAATAATAATAGCTGTATATCGTATGGGAGTTTTTTTTTCCAGCTTCTCTATTGTGTTTCCTACCACGTTAAACACTTGCAGATGTTTAGGATTATTTCAGAATTGGAAATGCCTGAAAATAATGTTTTCGGTTATCTGAGTTTCTTATGAGTTTTTCAAATCTTGCTAAATGTCTTTGGGCATCTCTTTAATTCTATTATGTTGTCTGAAATTATGGCTTATCTATCTGCAGGGATGAACCAGGATGGATTCATTTACTGGAGATCACACTGCCCATGGGCTAGCCTCAAAGTCCTCTTTAATATGGCATGTTTTAGTAAGAATTTTTTCATATAAACTTTTACCTATGCTTTTTAGGGGTAAATAAAATTATACCTTCATGATGATAAAGTCTCGAAAATACATAAAAACCATAAAATGAACAAAAAATTGCTGAGTTCCTTATCACTACACATATATTCTTATTGTCACTGGCCTAATCGAAAGGGAAGGCGCGGCAAAGCCGCGCCCGCGTTTCTAGTGCAATCCTGAAGCTGAGACAATTGAGCCCACCAAGGCCCAAATCCGAGCGACGACCAACGGCCGGCCATATCTGTGGCTCTGTCACCCTAAAAATAATAGAGCAAATTATTTCCTTCCTAAAAAAAAGTGCCTCTTAGTTTCTTAGCCCTTTTTTTTGTCAGACTTTGTTATTTGGCCCAGAATCGAGTTTTGTTTGGTTTATTGGCCCTTCCGTCCAGTCTGTCCATCTCTACCGTTAGCCAGCACATGGACCACACGCGAAAAGACAAAAATAGCCTTACCCCTAAAGCGGGCGGTGACTTCCTCCTTCGCTCTTTCCCGTACCCGTTCGAGCTGCGGTCGTGATTTTAGGCGAGCGCAATTTCTGGCGTCGGGCACCCAAACCCTAGCCGCCGGCGATGGAGAAGGCCGGCTCCGACGAGCCCCCGCCGGGAGATCCACCAACACCGGCGCCGGATCCACCACCATCGCGTCAGAGCAGGGCGGCCCGCTGGTGTCAAGGATGGCCGCCGGTCGCGCACGGCAGGGCGCCGCGGGGCTGGTTGCCGGCAGCGCGAGCCAAGGAGCCACGGGCCCGACAGCCGGCCGCGGTAGCCAGGGCGACGCAGGGCTGGCAGCCGGCCGCGCCACTGAGGGCGCTGCGGGACTGGCAGTCGACCGTGCTAGCATGGGCGCCGCCGCCTTGGCAGCCGGCTACGCCAGCCAGGGCGCGACGGGGCTTGCAGATCAGGGCGCCGCGAGCGACGGCACTGCGAGCGAGGGCGTCGAGCAGGGCCTCGCCACCGCCACGCTTGCCAGACTTCTAAGGCAGCTGTTGTCCAAGCTTTGGAGGGAATGACTCGCTCTCAGGGTGAGTGTACTATCGTCATTTTGATTTGCATCACCTACAAATTTGCATGGCTGTGAATATGGTACATTCCTTGTGTTAAACAGGTTTGATTCTAGTTTCAAGTTGGAAATTAAATTGTTGGGCAACAGTAAGACTCACAGAAAGGATGTTAATTGTTTTAGCTTTGAGATGGTTGTGGATTCAGATAGAACAAATTTCAATGATTTTGTAGAATCAGCGGTAGAGAAATATCCTCCAGGCTATATGGAAGTAGCTCATGTTCAGTACTATGATGAAGCTCTAAAAACCTTCCCTAAAATAAAATCCGACCAAGATTTGATATGTATGTTTAGTAAGCACTGCAAGAGCAAGGTTATCATCATGTTCATTGTATATCGAGGCCCTTCTGATCCATATGAGCCAGTCACGAAGTGGGATTTTAATGTTGATAGCCAACTCAAAAACAACAGAGCTTGATGAGGATGATTACCTTAGAAACCCTACACCACAGAATGAACATGTAGGTATAGACGAAGAGGCAATGTACTTGGAGACTCTACCACAGAATGCACTTCAGGTTGTGAATTATCCAATTTAAGCTCAGAGGAGAGGTGATGAGTCCGAGGATGATAGCGGGTCAGCCTAAAACTGAAAGGCATAAAGGCAATGGTAACAAGAAAAAAGGAAAGGGCAACACAGGTGCCCTATTTGTGAGGGCTATGTATATCATTGGCATAACTGCAATAAAGGCAAACTAGAAGACATTGAAGCTATGAAAGCAATCAAGTAATAATGTGTCTACTTTTACTATCATTTATGTTTTTCTTCCTACAAAACATAGTGATGACACATGGTGTTCTTGTAGGGGACCACCAAAGAAGAGGGCCAAATCTGCTCAAAGTTCTATTGTTCCTTTGGAGGACGATGCACCGGCTGCATCCATGTCTTTTCCACTAAGGTTTACAAATTATTACTTCCTCTAGTTGTTATTTCAAACTTGTCATCAATACTAAATATTGACTTTGTCCCTCTAGTCAAAACTTGAAAACATCAACTAGCAAAAAAGAAATAGCGATGATCGTACTCCTGCAGCATCTAGAAGGTAATTGACATTAGTGCTCAAAATTTTGTGTTAGTATTAACGGCAATTTGGTAACGAAACTAAATAGATGCTCTCTATCATAACAACCAAAGCTTGGATATTTCAAGTAAGACTATGGAAAAACTAAATAAATTTAGCTCTGGACTATCAAAAAGGTAATTTTGTACTTCTGAATTTTTTCCATTTGACTATTGAACTATCATCATTTGCTGCTGAAAATAAATATTTGTAGGTCAAGAAGTGGCTCAAATCAGCTGGAAGCACTTTCCATCGAGCATCCCTCGCACATAGAACCACCGGTCAAGGCCAAGGGTAACAAGAAGGTGAAACCCACAAAGAAGAAGCAAGGGCTAGGTACTAAGAATGTTAGAACTACAAATGTGCCACTTGACAGCCCCTCCATGGGTACTAGAAGCAAAAAAAAACACAACCACCTAGCTCTGCAATGAGCACAAGAAGTAAAAGAAGGCTTAGTCTTTGATTTTAGATATGCTTGTTCTCATATTTGATGCCATGTGAGCTTGAACATGTTCTGTACGAAGGCTTATTTGTGAACTTGAACATCTTCTGTATGATGATGTCATGTGAACTTGTTCATGTACTGATGTTGTCATGTGAACTTGAACATCTTATGTATTTGTCAACTTATTATTGCGTATGTCTGCACTTGAATTATAATTGTGGATTATGTGAACTTGTTCATGTATGATGCTGTCATGTGAACTTGAACATCTTCTGTATTTGTTAACTTATTATTGTATGTGTGTGCACTTGAATTATAATTGTAGATTTTATATGCATCTTAAATAGTCAGTGTGGGTCATGTGAAAATATATATAAAAAATAATGATTTCATGCTTTAAAAATTATTATAGATCATTTTGGGAAATTATTGATACTAAGCAACCTGAAAACCCCGTACAGTGCATCTGTAGGCTGCTGATCTTTTTCATTCGACATCAGGGGCAAAGTAGTCTTTTCGCGTACAACTTAACCCCGTTACCTCATCAAACTGACGGAAGGACAAAAAAAACCAAACAAAACTTGATTCTAGGTCAAATAAACAAGTTCAACAAAAAAAGACCAAGAAACTAAGAGGCACTTTTTTTAGGGCCAAGGAAATAATTTGCTCAAAATAATAATAGAAAAACCTTTGTGCTAGAGTCCTCTGGTACCTTGCAAATTCACCTCATATATCTTGCAATGTTCTGCCCCAATTTATTTATGACAAGACTTTGACACGCCAGCAAGGGACCTTACAAATAAACCAGGTATTATAGAAATATACAATAATCATTGGAACATAACCAATTGGTATTAAATCCATCCCAAATTATAAGACATTTTGACTTTTCTAGATACATTGTTTTTACTATGTATCTAGACATATTGTATGTCTATATGCATAGTAAATGCAACGTATCTAAAAAAAAGCCGAAACATCTTATAATTTAGAACGAAGGGAGTATTAACGTCATCTAGCTATGTGGGCCATTTTAACCCCCGAGCATTTTTTCGGCATCATAGCATCTTCAATCAAGTCTCTTCACAAAGCGTGCTACTTACAGCTAAAACTCTATGCAGAGTCTGGTCCATTCTTGAAAAACTTTGTACTAAAACATACCATATCATATATGTTCCATGTGGATCTACTCATGTGAAGTCCAACACAATTGGAGTTTCCATTTTATGATTTTCTATGATTTATTATGATTTTTCAAAGATTCAGCCAAAGTAAACATAAAAGAAAAAAACACCAACGATAACTGTCATGGGGGTCAAGTGGCTAGTTTTGGGAGATGAGAGAGGAGCTATATCCGGTCTTCGAGTTGAGGGGGAGAAAAGCTGACTTTTGTAATAGTTGAGGAAGGCAAACTGGACTTTTTTCCTTTATATTTTCGCCTAAAATATTCACCTTATGCAAAACCAAACTTCCCTACTGTGATTACCCGTCTTTCCTTAGCAAGCTCACACGTTTGGTTTCTCGCTAGACCTTAGCTATGCAACTCATAACAAAATTTTCTGTCTTTTCTTAGGTGGATTCAACATACACAATATGGGTCCATAGAATCATGCAGGATTCCCTTAGGCCTTGTTTGTTTTCTTGCCAAACCAGGGGGAGGGTTTGGAGAGGATTGGAGGGATTTGAGGGGAGTTTTGACTTGTAGGGGTTTTAATCCCTCCAACCCCCTTGGTTTTGGGATAAAACGAACATGCCCTTAGGTAGTTAGGCATTGCGAACTTTTTTTAATCTTTGATGGATTTAGCATGTTATAGAGGTTCAAAATTGTAGCAAACTAATCTACTTTCTCAAAGTTATATACAGTGTTATCTTTAACATGGCAACTTAGCATGTTATGGAGACAAAATTGTCACAGGGTATTTGTCGGGTTCATAAACCCGAGGTTCCTCATGGACCGGCTTCCCAGCAAAGGCTTGGCCCAGCAGACTACGTCGCGAACAACGCGTAACTCCTAGGCCAGCCCAAAACTACCTGAACGACAGGCCAGAAGAGCGATCCACCTCTCCGACCGGAAGGCCTGGCCTAGGAGGAACAACGCTCACTTCTGACACCGGCCCACTTCTCTGACCAGAAGGCCTCGCTTCCGACTCCGACCCGTCTCTCCGACCGGAAGGCCTAGCCAAAACGCCGCTTCCGACTCCGACCCGCGTCTCCGACCGGGGATGTACCGAACCTCTGCTTACAACTCTTCTCCGACTGACGCAGTCGGAGCCGACTGGGACCAACCGACCGGGGACGCCCGCTCGGTGAGGACCAAGAAAACGGGCGGAGCAAGTAAAGCAGGACACTCAAGTCAATAGCAATACCGAGGACCGTGCACTGTGCACCTGCAGGACAGTACCAACAGGGCATGGTAGAAGGGCACCCTGCAACCTTCCAGGCATGACAGAACCCCAATAGTATTGAGGGCACCGATATTTACCCTACAGTGTTGCGGGCGCCGTCAATTTCTATACCAGGCAAACGCGGTAAGGCCTCCCACATGCATCTGGGCATCCACCGTGTTGTGGGCGCCGGCATTTACCGTACCTGGTGACCATAGTGAAAACCTCCCACATGCGTCTAACATCAACAATATTGTGGGCGCCTACAATCATCTTGTACCCAACGGCTTGAGCAACAAGACTTAGTAGCATACGTACTATCTCTCTCTCGCTTGTAAAGCCGTCCCTTTCATCTATAAAAGGGGATATGCTCTCTCCCAACAAAGGAGAGACTGGATCCATCAGTTCACTTACATTGATTCACCCTCTGCTAGCTTTAGACACTCTAAAGTTACACAGAGCGCACGCTCGAACACTTAGCACATAGCGGTGCTCCTGTCACTCTTGGCCCTTCAGACCAGAGTCCGATCGGACCTCTTGCACCTCCCATCTTACTCCCTTCCGTTTGTAACCCCACAGCAAACTTCGAGCACCTGGGCTCAGGAATAAAGTCACCGACCGACTCAAACTGGACATAGGGCACGTTGCATGAACCAGTATAAACCATGTGTCATTGAGTGCTAGGCCACATCCGATCACAACGTACGGCAAAACTACAAATATTTACGTGTTGGTCACTTTCTGCACCGACAGTATTCTTACTTATGCAACATGGAGACATTAGAGCTATCCCAGTCGTGTAGGGCCGGCGGCCATAATGCCTATCCCAGTCGGCTCGGCGTTCCAAACGACGGTAGAATTCAACCCCACTACCACCACCGCATTGATGGTTTTCAACTGCCGGTTTCCATCCTTAGGAGGCCTCCTTATCGGTCCAACCGACGGTAGAAGTATTACACCGACGCTTTTATCGCTACGACAGTGAAAGTGACGATAGTGATAAGTCAATCTGTAGTAGTGTGAATACAAGTTATTGCAAGATATTCTTTACTTATGCAGAGCTAATTGTTGATGAACTTGATAAAGCAAGGGACCATGTTCGTTTGATGAGCTAAGCAAGGTTTGGTCAATAGGTAAACAAAATACTCCCTCCAATCCAAATTATAAGCGTTTTTTTCTAGACACATTATTTTTACTATGCACTTAGATATATAACATCTCTAGATACATATTGTAAAAACAATATATCTATAAACCAAATGTCTTAATTTAAAATAAAGGGAGTACTTATTGATAAGTTATGAATGTGGATGGATCAGTAAGAAGGGAGATACTAGCGTCCGGATGTCCGGACAGAAGCGCGTGTCCGGACGCCCGCGTCTCCTCCATCACACACGCCCGCTGAAACGCCACGCCCGCCGCTTCTTCCTTACCCCCTCCTCTCTCTTCGCAAGTTCGAACGCAGTGCCTCCTCCCGCGCTTGTCGCCGCCCCCGTGAGCTCCTTTCCCTTAAACCCCCTCCTCTCTCCGCACGGACAGGACCCACGAGCCGGGATGAGGACAACTGGACGAGCGCCCCCCGTTCGCATGCCCCCAGGTGTGCCGCGCACCTCAACCGTCGGCCCCCAGCACGCCCCACCCGTCGGCCCCCGGCTTGCCGGGCCCATCCCTTGATGCCCAAGCCGTGCTCCATGACTCTGTACCTCTGAAATATGAAACACTTGGATGCAACATACGTCTAAAGCAGATAAAATATTTGGAACATACACTTGAAACATGTGTGTGAAACATATGCAACATCCAGATAACACACTTGCAACTTGCAACATAAAACACTTATTGCAACATAAGACTGAAACAGTTGAAATATTTCGAACATACTCTTGTGACATATATGTGTGAAACATATGCAACATCCAAATCAAAACTCTTGCAACATATGTCTGAAACAGATAAAACATTTCGAACAAACGCTTGCAACATGCTTGTGAAACACTTGCAACATGTCTCTGAAACACTTGCAACATATGCAACATCCCGATCTACTTTTGCAACATCCATATGAAACACTTGTAACATACCTATGAAACATTTAAAACACTTGAAACATATATTTACAACATAGGGGGAGGGGGTTGGGGCCGATCGATTCTGGGCTCGGGGTGGGAGCCGACGGTGAGCGGTGGCGCGCGAGCACCACCAACCCGGTGTGCACAAGAGGGAGCGGCCCGACCAGCAGAGGTGGGCGCACGCGACGGGCAGGAGAGAGGAGCAAGCGACGTAGGCTGGGCGCGCGCGACAGCAGCACCAGCAGAGGCGGGCGCGATTTAGAAGGCCGCGACAGGACAGAGGCGTAGTGGAGAGCGACGAAGGGGGGCGACCGTGCTAGGGCACAGTGGAGAGGAAGGATGGCGGCAGGCGGGGCGCGATGGATAGAGCCATGGTGGAGCTGCTGCAGCAATGCGGGGGCGGTGGTGCGTCCGCGATCACGACCGCCGCGCCATGACAGTCTTGATCATGGCGGCGTGGGGGGAGGCGAAATGGGTGCGGGTGCTGCGGGAAAGCTTGAGGAAAGAGAAAGTGAGAACAGAGTATTCCGTATTTTTTAGCAATGTGGTGCGAGTCTGACCCACCAACGGTGGCGTCCGACAGATTCCTATCAGATTGGACGCCCTGACCCCGCGTTACCGTTGCAAAAACCTCCCTCCTCTCTCTTACACACACAAAAAGCTAACACGCGTGTGTGGTGTGGGGGGTTGTTATTTTGGTACAACTCCATCGATCTTAAGTTACAAAGTTATTGCAAGACCATATCCTCACTTGTAAGTTACGGAGTATTGTCTTGAGCAGCAACAACTCAGACAAGTTTAGGCAAGTTGTTTGGTGTATCCGAGCCATAGGCGAGTTGGCTGATAGTAGGGGCCCTGTTTGGTTACTGCAGTGACTCTAAAATTTCTGTCACATCGAATGTTTGGACATACGTATGGAGTATTAAATATAGATTAATTACAAAATTAATTACACAACTTGCGACTAATTTACGAGACGAATCTTTTAAGCCTAATTAGCCCATGATTTAACAACGCGGTGCTACAGTAAACATGTGCTAATGAAGGATTAATTAGGCTTAAAAATTTTGTCTCGTAAATTAGCCTCCATCTGTGTAATTGGTTTTGTAATTAATCTATATTTAATACTCTTTATTAGTATCTAAACATTCGATGTGACATAAATTTTAGGAGCGACTAAAGAACCAAACACCTCCTAAAATGGATTGATTCCTTCTTATATTCATGTAAAGTGGCACACATCGCCAACGTTATCGACAATCACTTTGACGTATACGTAGAAGAAGACGACAGATAGTTGGGCACCATTCATATAATATAAAACTACTATGGGCATGTTTGAATCCGATATACGGATTATAAGAATTCCGCTTCAGATTCCAGTCTAGAATATGTTATTATTCACTTGTTAAGGACATGCGCCGTGTTAAATTTGAATTTGGTGGCCAGCCCCCTCCATCATGCACATTATTCACATGAACCAATCAAGTGAAGATTTTCTTCTCTTGCATAAACGAATCAAGAATGATATGAACCAATAAACAATGTTCTATTAAGAACGAATTAACCCTTTATTCTTTTTTTTTAAGTATACCCCTCCCGGGGAAAGAAGAATAGGACAAAAGATATGGAATACAATAAGGATCTTTATTTATTCTTTCCTTCCTTTATCCCTATTCATACAGAATTCCTCATGAACTAATGCCAAACTCTTTCCATTTATTAATTGCTATAATGAGTGATTTATTCCAATATTAAGTTATTACCGAACAAAGAAAAATTATATTATATAAAGGATGAGATCAATTCGGAAGCGTTTTTTTGAGCTGTTAAATTTGATGGTTTCTGCGGCTGATAAGCTAGCTGATGTTGATTTATTGTGAGGGAAAATACTACCGTGGCTGATAACCAGTTCAAACGAATATAGTCATTATCTATAGTAGATTGTCAATTTTTGTGATTTTTAAAAATCTATCCTAGAATCTGATGATCTGTTTGGTATGATAGAGATTTTTTTATTAGATTTCTTATAATCCGTTTGGATCAAACATGACCTAAAGTGCCCTATTTATCGGCAAACAAAACATGCTAGGCGGAGTTTTTTTTTTTTTTTTGAATGTGCTAGGCAGAAGCTTGGTTGAGAAGGAAATATGATTTTCAGCTTGTTTACTTGTTGATTTCAACAAATATTTATTAGCCAATCAATTTACAACAAATCAACACCCGTCGAGCTTAGCCCAAACCCACCGACAACACGCTGAGCACTACGGCCAAACGCGACTCGTCCGATCGTCCCAGACAGATCCTACGCGTGACAGCCCTCCAACGGCCGGCTCCCTACCACTCGAGTCTCCAACCAATCCCACGCGGCTTGCTAGGCGTCCGCGCCTGACCTTCGTTGACCCGGCGGAGTCGGTCTCGGTCCACGGCCACACACGCCAAAGGCTCCAGCCTGGTGACACGGGCCCACGAAACCCAGCGAAAGGCCCCACATGCCAGGTGACCCGGCCCCACAAGTCCACGCGGCCGCGACGCTGCGCATGCGTTCATTCGAATCAGACCGCTTCCAACTGACATTCTGGTCCCACGCATCTGGGCCCATCCGTCATCAGCGGTTCTGACAACTTCAGTTTTGGGTCCGTGCTGGGCTTTTGGTTTTGACTTTTTATCCTAAAAACTAAAAAACCAATCAAGGGGATGTTTTTGGAGGTTGTTTTTTTTTAGAAATAGCTGTTTTTCTGTAGTACATTTTTAAAAGCTGGTTTGATTCTGCTTTTGACTTTTAGCTTTTGGCTTTCTGTTTTTCAAAATTGATAGAATAAAAAGTTTCTTCATAGTTGTTTTAAAAAAGATAAAAATAAAAGATATATTTTATACTTATTTAACTAAATAATTTTTAGTTTTTCTATGGCTCACAGCGTATGACAGCTTTCTACAGTTCAGCCTTTTTCCACAGCTATAGCCTAGCCAAACACACCCAAACACGACTTCCTGTAGAGGCCACCAATTCCATCTCGGCATCGTCTTCTTCCGCTCCCCTCCAAAAGGAGGCGCCGCGCTCCTCGTCTACGCCGTCCACTTTCCCACTCGACCACGCCTCCGCCCCAACTCGCGAGACCCTAGCGCCAGCGCCACCTGCCGTCCAACCCGGAGAGAGGAGGCCTTCGTCGGTCGAGGAGGCGCCAGGATGTTCGGGTACCAGAAGGGCGTCGACGTCGAGGCGGGGACCTCGGGCGGCGCGCGCCAGCTCTACCCGGGGATGCAGGAGAGCCCCGAGCTGCGCTGGGCGCTCATCCGCAAGATCTACGTCATCCTCTCCCTCCAGCTGCTCCTCACCGCCGTCGTCGCCGCCGTCGTCGTCAAGGTCCGCGCCATCCCCACTTCTTCACCACCACCAACGCCGGGCTCGGACTCTACATCTTCCTCATCATCCTCCCCTTCATCGGTGAGTCCGCCCTCGACCATCCGTCCCTCTCTCTGTCTGGCTGGCTTTAGTTGTTTCCTCCGAGGATTTTTTTTTTTCTCGTGTTCGGCTTGGTGGGGAAAGCAGTAGAGTAGGGTTTCGAAGGGTGTTCATGCGAACGCTTCGCTTCTATTCCGCAAAATGCGGGGTGCATGTAGATTCCGTTAGCAATTTGGATGTGAATTGTGGTTGCGATATTTGAATCGCAACATTCTCTGTGGCTGAGTTCGATCAACTTTTGTAACTTCTGAATCATTTTTTTGTGGTTTTCCTCTTCCGATCGGGTGCACGGGGAAGCAGTTGGGTTCGAGGGGTATTTCTGTAATTCCGTCGAATATATTCTGTGCGTTGCTTCAAGGTTGCAGTTAGAATCAGATTCTGATGCCCATGTCCTAATACCTGCGAAATCTGCTAGTCCTGCCAGCGAGTTGTTGGTCGATTTGGTAAAGTTTGGAGGGATTCTGTCAAAGTGGAAATGGAGGAGCCTTGCGTGTTCTCATCCGTGCACGCATAGGTGCCGTTACCTTGTGGCAAGAGTGTTTTTCGGTGGGTGGGTTGACACGGCGTGACGGCGTGAGGGTTTTTGTGTTTAGCAGGAACAGGAAGGACCCCTCTAACCTGGCCTAATCGCGTGTTATTTGGATTGAATTGGATGTCTAATTACTTGTCAATTGATGATGCAACGCTGAACATGATTGTTCATTTTGTTTTGGTGTGCAGTGTTGTGCCCGCTGTACTTCTACCATGAGAAGCACCCAGTCAACCTGATCCTGCTCGGCCTCTTCACCGTCGCCATCAGCTTCTCTGTCGGCTTGACATGTGCCTTCACCAGTGGTAAGCATCTCTTCTTCATGGCCTCATTGTTCAGTTGTTTTGACTACCATCTCCCACGGTTGCTTTGTGTGCCTGCTTGTGTAAATTGGCAACATCAGTGTAAAATACCATGCCAGTTTTCGACAGAGTTTTGACTGTTAGGTTACACAGAAATTTCTAGGAACCTGCTCTGGCAGCCTATGTGAGGTGTACAACCAAATTTGTAGGTGTTGGTGGCTATGTGATATTCTTGTTTCAATCGCTTTATTCACTGGCTTGCATAAATTAGCAATATCACGTCATGTGCAGATTTTTCTGGCAATGTGAATTCACTTTTGGGTTGTTGTGCAATGCAACTGGCGTGTAGTATGCCATAACAGTGATACTTTTGGGAATAGTTTTTTTTCTTTTTTTTTTTGGGTAAGGTTTGTAGAGAAAACTCAAGTAGCATGCGACGGTGACCCATGTGCGCATTTGGCTAGTCTGTGTAGGACCAAGTTTTAGGTGTTAGTGGCTTTATGATATGCTTGTCTGAGTCAGAAGCAATTGGAATATCACCATCTTGCGGAATTTGTCATTTATAATACAAACACCTCTTGCCTGTTCTTTTGCCTTATTGCGAAGTTGACCTTTGACTGGGTTGTGCCTTTTTGAACTTGCAAGTCAGTGAATCCTTATTCATTGGTTTTAATAAAATATTGGTTGAAACATGCAACTTGAGAAGTTATTTACTAATTGTTTCTGGCTCTATTTTCTTCCTTGCAAGGTGCGCAATTACATGATATAGTGACAGGTTCAATATATTTCTGCAGGCTAATAAGCACTGCTTTGTGTGCTTGTCTGTGTGAATTAGCAATATCGTTTCCTTTGCAAGTATTTGAATTACCGATATCACTTATCAGCTTATATACTGTTTCTTGACCATGCTAGTTTTTGGAAGAGTTTTGTGTGGTTTCTGAGGAATTTGAAGGAACTTATCTTAGATGCCAAGTGAGGCATTTGCCTACTCTGTGTAGAGCCAAGTTGTAGGTTTGGTGGCTGTATGCTATGCTTATCTGAGCCCCTTGCTTTATGCATATTCACATATCCATGCAAACATATTTGGCAATGCAAAATTACTTTCGGCTTGCCTCATTGTGAAGTTGACCTTTTGTTGGGTTGTGCCTTTTTGAATTACCCTTTGTTTTTTCTTAAAGCATTGGTTGGAACACATGTTGCATGACTGTGTGAGATATTAATGGTAGTTTGAATCTGGCAGGTATTTGTCCATGAAAATAAGCTTTTTCTTAGCCACAATTTTTGTGTTAGGGTCTCAGCCGGAAATCAATGACAAAATACATAGATTTTTAATAGAAGATTAGATTGTTACAGGCTCTGCACTAAGAGAGATTTTCATATAAAAGCTACTTTTACTTTTTGGTCATCCCCAGCTGGTTTGAGTTCATTTGATATTTGATATAACTTAAGTGATGCAGAATCATTATGAACTGTCATTGTGAACCCATCTTTGTTTCTGGAACCTTTACCTTATGATCTGTCTGTCACTCTGTCATGTGTGCTGGCAACAACAGCTGGTGCAGTTGTGCATGATGTGGTGGCTGATTTTTTTCTCTTTTGCATCTGTATCTTTTTGCCAATAATTAGGACACTGAATTATGCACTCTCTTTTTTGTTTCTAGATTTAACAGTTGTATTTTATTGGATGTCCAGACTACATAAAAGTTACTTTGATGAGCTTCACAATGATGGCTTGAAAAGTGAAACAAAGTTTTATTTCTTTTACTTAACAATTTAGGAAATACTTGTAATCTAATTCTGTTCAGCTATTTTCTGGTTATGTCTTTTGTCCTTTTAGTTACACAGACGTGTTGGGATAAAATCTAAGTCTTGTAGCTGGCATTCATAATCACTATTTTAACCCTTTCTTTACACTGTTCTTAGTTCTAGTTGAATCCTCTAAGGTCTAGCAATTGCTAATATATATCTGCCGTGTGAACAGGCAAGGTCATTCTGGAGTCTGCAATTCTGACAACAGTGGTTGTGCTCAGCCTGACTGCATACACTTTCTGGGCCGTGAATAGGGGCAAAGACTTCAGCTTCCTGGGTCCTTTCCTGTTCGCCTCCCTGATAGTGCTGCTTGTGTTCGCACTCATCCAGGTGAGAGATCTATCTCTGAAGCACCACTGCGTTCTCTATGTTATGTGATAGTATTTACTCTGAATATTTTTTTTTCCAATCGATGGTGATGGGGTGACCTTGATGCTGCCAAATGCAGATACTGTTCCCACTGGGCAAGCTCTCCCAGATGATCTACGGCGGGCTGGCGTCGCTCATCTTCAGTGGGTACATCGTCTACGACACGAACAACATAATCAGGCGCTTCACGTACGACCAGTATGTCTGGGCCGCCGTCTCCCTCTACCTGGACGTCATCAACCTCTTCCTGTCCCTGATGACCCTCTTCAGGGCAGCCGACTAGGCGCTCTGCTCCCATCCTGTCTATCTAGGCAAGCTGTGAATACCTTACGTTGGTCCCTGAATGCTCGTGGGTTAAGCTCCGGTGCCCAGAATTCCAGTTCCGAGAGTAGAGTTGTATAGCTGCGTTGCCTTTCTACTAGTGTGGTCTTATTTGGGTTGGCTCAGTCAGTCTTGATATCATCTACGTAGCTGGATCACGAACAAATGTACCTTGATTATGTGCGTGGAGATCTGGTACTGGATTTGGGTTGCCTAACCTTGAATGAGAGTTTGGAGATCCATCTGCTTTATGATCTTCATTTGCTGCCTTATGGTGAATCTGTCATGGAGTTTTCATTTATCGATTCATCATAAGTGATTATTTGATACAGGCTGACCACATGAGAAAATGGAGGTTGCGATCATGTGGGCACGTTGAAGAACGTTGCCCAGATTGAAACCACGTATCAGCGAAAAGCTGAAAACAACCTGTTGACACAAAATGTGACGCACTGTACCTCACACACAGCAAGCCGGAAAGCGTGGCTTCAATCGGGTGCTTCGTGATCCGGAAACGTGTCAGTCAGTTTGACCTGAAAAAAACTAACAAAGGATAAAACAGTTAAATGTCAAACCGGAACATGTCGGGTGAGACCAGACAGTTCCATATATACGGCCCTGAAGCCACTTACAACGACATACAGCTATAGAAAGCTGTCTGCCAACAAGTTTATAAACCATTCGGCTAATCGTAAGATGAACACACGTAAAGATCCGATTGCCGAATGCATGTGCATGGGAAGACATGTTTGAACAAGTGAAATTAATTATGCGTTAATGCATAACCAAGCTCAATGATCCCGGCCGAGTTGGGGTCCGTGAAGAAGAAGAAAAAGCGTGCAAATAAACACGATTAAGCTAATCTAAAACACTGCATACGCACGACACGACACCTAGTTTACGTCAAAAGCTTAAAACGTAATTAACATGTATGAACCCACAACATGTGATAATCTAGATTAAAATAATTCATCATTATGAGCATGTTATCTATTTGCAAAGGTAATATAAAAGTAATGATCATTGAAGCACGAATAAAACCATAGGAGAGGGCGAACAATATCAATCTAGATTGGGCGAAGTGTGTTACAAATATATAAAATATTTAAAACATGCAACACAGGGATAACTTAATGAATCTATTTAGATTTTGCCGTATCTAATAGAGGCGATAAGCATCTTGCTTTCACTAAGCATATTGAGCAAGCGCGCTTTGCCATACGGTATCTACTCATAAACAAAGCATAAGCAAAGACTTCTTCATTGTTAAGCAAAGATCCGCCGCACGATTATTGAAAACAAACAAGACTACTTGCATCACGTCTAAATCCACGCATGATACTAAACATGATAACAAGGTTGTCCGGAACTTACGGAGTCGACGGATCGATGACTCCTCTCGAAGAACTTCGGCGACACGACAAAAGGACTCGAAAGTAGGCACGGGGGCGGTTGTATTGATTTGGTTGTGAGCGCCTATTACAATGGTCGATGGTCAATATTTATACCTAGACAAAACACAAGTCCTAAAGACTACGATTTACAAATGAACTCTTAAACAAACTTGGAAACTACGATTCCTTGCCCTAAACTCTCGAGTCCTTTATTATTACAACTTTCATCTTTTCGATCGGCTTTACACCGCCATCTTACGCTTTTCCCGAATGGAGTCACCACCTTCAAGTAACCGACCGCACAAGCATTTAGCCGACCGCTTCGTTTTGTTTGCGAATGTCCTTCTTCCCACATGCGGGCCCACATCATCTTCAAAAGTCGACTAAAATCCGGTGTTAACACATGCCCCCTCAATTTCGGGATAAAAGTTGTTTTATTCTGAAATTGACCACAACTCCTTCTTCCTCCTAGGTCAAGACCGTTCAACACATGACCCATGTCCAAAAATTCAAGCTTTCAACGCAACCTCGGACCCACTTCGAATCTTCAATGGCGATCCAGGATGAAATTCCAGAGGTAAACTTCACTTATATTCGGCAATTTCCACTTGATCTTCCCGTTCTTCTTTTGGCTTATTCCTCTTTGATTTCAATCACCCTTTAAAGGAATACAAGAATCAGATTTTGATCCCTTATCTTTGCCAACCCCGATTCCTATTTCCTCGGCCCAATGGGAAATCCGACCCTTTTGAAATTATCGAGAAGAAACCCAAAGAATCCCTTTCAAATCTAGGATCACCTTGCCAAACCGATGGCCAAACACGTTCAAGAATTGGCCATTTCCCCCAATCGCTGGATGGCGGAATTGGTACAGGAGAATGCTGGAGAAAAGCAGCGACCCTTTCGGGAAAGTCAAGACATCGATCATTGTCTGAAATTATCCTTAGCAGAAACACCCGAAGCGATTCCTTTTGATAGCAGCTTCCCATTTTTGGTCTGACACCATTAATGCCTTCATCTTCGGTCATGGTATGATGACCATCACTCTAGCCGACGTGTTCATGATGGCTGGCTTGAACGTGTCACTACCAGTATACCCTCATAAGTACAAGAGCAAAAGTAATCAAAGAGCCGTCAGCTCTGGATGTGGATGGGTCAAATACATCCAGAACTACATGAATGCATCTGACACCATTTCTGACAAAGAGTTGAAAGCCTTCATGAATATGTGGCTATGCAGATTCATCTTCTGTGGAAAATCCAATGAACCAACTCTGAATCATATGATGATGGCTGAAGACTTAACTGCAGGCACTCAGATCCCACTAGGCAAATATCTCTTAGGGTCATTTTCATCATATGATGCATCGAGTTACTCTTGAGATCGCGCCAAGGTGGAGAAATCTCTTGTGTGAATGGTCCTGGTGGCTAATTCAGATGTGGCTCCAGCTATACATGCATCGAGATAACCTCTGTGAGCCTCTTCAATCTAAGTTTTCCTTGATTAACTATCTTTGAAGGCGATGACAATAAAGGTTAAGGCTTGTCGGACTTATGGGGAAGCGACATCATCTATCGGCATTGACATAGACATTGGTCATTTCTTCAAGCTTGTTTTTCAAAGGATTCGACAATGTGCTCTGGTTCCCTTACGGAGAAAATGAAAATTTGACTTTGCCACCAAAGTTTAGCTATGAAATTGGTTGTTCAGTCAAGAATCCACGGAGATCTTCAACTCTTTTATCAAACCTTGCATTACGCCAAATTTAATTTCATCATGGGAGATTAGTGCACGTCCACCTACGAATTCTACTATCCAAATATGGTGGCGGACAATTAGGATGTGGCCAGCGGCCCCCAAGATTCCTTTTCTCAACAATCATAAAGTCAAGGGAAGTAATAACAGAAAGAATGGAAGCCAAGAAAATCTTTGAATTAGGATGAGAATTGCCAACATACGAACCATCTCCATTTGGGCTAATAGATGTTGCTCATTCCTTCTTTGTCTCTTGGTGGCAAGAATGGCATGCTCATATCTTCAATATATCAGTTCATCCTTTATGCAAAAACTTGTAGCCCGATTTTGCTTCTGATAGTGAGGTAATTTCATTATACTCATCATTTCCTGCTCTTGAATTCACTTCTTATTCTAACATCTGGTTATGCACAGGATCTTGAGTCTACTCCCCACCTTAAAGCAATCCATTACTATTCATTCGACCGGTCCTAAGCACCTTTCTCTGGGGTTTGATGCTCCAAAATTAAAGGAATTCATGAAAATTCTCTGCAACTTTGGATTCAGATGCCTTTAAAGGCACTCATGAGAACTCCTGCTACTTCAAATTTCTTTGCATCTTCAAGAGGAAAAAGCAAAGGAAAACACACGAAAGTTTTCTCTTACCCAAGAAACCAAGGACCAAGAAAGCCAAATTATCTCTTAAGGTATGAACCTTTTATTCTCTATCAGGTTAACAACCCCACTTAGCAGTAAACCTGACCACCTCTATATTCATTACTTCCATTGCAGCCACAAGTCGAAATTCCCAGACTAGGCAGCACCTCAGCAGCTGTAAAACCAACTCCTGAAGTTTCTACCGAAAATGAAGAAATCCATGACAGTGAAGCTTCAGAGACTCATGAAGCTGAAGGTTCAAAGGCTCATAAATCTGATGAGACTATAAGTAACATCGTTCAACCAATTCCCCTTTTTTTTAATAACATATATCCCTTATGCTCATTATCATTTACTTTATTGAGAATAGATGAAATCTTAGATGAACTGGTGAGAGAAACTTCTCCTGATCAAGCTCTAAACCTGTCCCTTCTGAACATTCAGCCAAGTCCTCCAGCAAGCCAGGGTATAACCCATCCTGATGATTAATCAGTTCAACAGGTAACGCCTTGTCTTACACTATATTTTAGCAAATTCACCCAATCGGCTAACACCTTCTTTCTTCTCTTTTCTTTTAGAAGAACATCACTAAACCGACCACCAGCTACTCCTTCTCTATTGAGGACTACATCATTGAGAAAGGTGAAGAGATTACTTCTCAACAAACCTTATCGCTGGAAAATCAGGCTCAACTAAAAGAGGTGATCATTCTGCTGAACAAGGATACCATTATTCTGGTTCAGGATGCAGATCAGATAAGAGACCTCCTTGAACTCATTGATCAAGATATCCCTTCTGCTCTCAAGGCCCCCCTAGAATCTGTAGCCCATCTTGATGACCACTTTGCCATGGTGAGAAGGGCAACCAAGAACATATCTTCAAGGGCTGCTTTGTAGAAGGATAGATCTTTGAAGAAGCTGGAGATTAAAGATCTTCACTCTCATATCCAGACTACAAGAAATTCCTTGACAACCTTGGAGCCTGAACTGAAAGCCATGGAGGATGAAAAAAGCAGACTAGAAGCTCAACTAGCCGAACTGAATGCCAAAATTCAGTCTCACAGGGCCCATATAGCTAATTTGCCGAAGAACATAGAAGCAGCTTCACTAAAGATAACTTCGGCCATCAAAGAAGATCAACAAATCAAAACTAAGTTATCCAGCATCCAGAGTTCTG